GGGGATGCGGGGTGACATGGGGAGGCAGGGCTCCTACCTCACACCTCAGGTGGCCGCCAGGTGAGCTGTTGTTAGACCAGCACCCGCAGCTTGTTAAGCGGCGTTATTATCCCTCAAATCACTCGTGAGGATGAGGAAAGGGAAGGGGTTGGCAGGAGGTGGGGCACACAGAAATCATTTCTCCAAAGTGGCTCTCCCTCCTGTCCTCGCCAAGGCTGAGCCGCAGGCAGAATCCTAACTGGTGCCCTCCTGGCCTTGTGCCCTCAGAGGGAAAAGGGCACATGGGACCAAGGATCCCAGGCTTGTGGGGATGGAAATGGTGGCGTGGGTGTCACCAGACTCCTCCCGCCCTGACCCCCTACTTCTGGGACTAAGGCCAGTTTAAGTAGCTTTCGGTGGGGCAGTGAGGACTGGCCGGGCCAGCTGCTAGAGGGCCGACGGGGGAGGGCCCGGGACCCTCAGCTCCGGTGTCCCCTTGCAGATGTCGAACGGGAGCCCAGCACAGAGCCTCCTGCAGAGAGGGATGGCGAGAGGATACTCCGATAGGACTCTCTGCCCACGCCCTGCTTCGCCGTCCAGCTCCTTTTTGGCCAAGACCAGGATCTGTCTGAGCCGCTGCTGTCAGCGCTGAGGGTGGGGGGTAAGGCCCACCCGGAGCCGCCAGGGACAGAGGCACCCACAGCCCCTCTCACGCATGTGTGCACGGCTCGAGCTTCACAGCCAGAGTTCGGTCAGCTGCCAGGGGGCTTTCCTCCCAGCAGCTCCCGCCCTCCCAGCCAGCTGCCACCGTGACTGTCTTCAACCACAGCCGAAGCGTCACCGCCGGGAGACCCTCCCGTTTGCCAGGCAGCCTCCCCGTTCCTGGCAGTGAAGCGTTCTCTGTGCTCTCCCAGGCCCTTGGTCATGGACGGCAGGTCCACACACTGCCCCCCACCCCCGCCCTCTGGGCTGCGAGCTCTGAAAGCCACATTGTTTGCATTCGTCCCTCAGCCCCTAGTGAACTGCCTGGCACTTGGCAGGGCAGTGTCCTCGTGGCTGCCGGCAAATGTCCATGTGCCCCGGGCATGCTGGCTGCCGTGTTATCAGCCAGGGATGACCTGGCAAACACTCGCCCCCAAATCACACGCTGGCTGAGCCCCAAATCACACACTGACCGACACTCTCCTCTCCGCCCTCGCTTTCCCAGCCACTTCCGATTTGCACCTTAAACGCCCAGCGAAGAACCCAGGTGTGTGTAAGGAAAAGCAGTGACAGTAACACGGCACCACACCAACCACTCCCGGGTGCCTGGTCCAAACAGGTGCCAGGCCCACATCATCCTGGCCCCTGCTCCTCGGGGCAGGCGGCAGAGTTACGGGTGTCTGTGTCTTTAAGGACTGCTGCTATGAGGAAGTTCAGACATGAGATCTGAGCAGACAAGCTAGGTCTGGGAGGGCGGGATTCCTTGCCCAGAGTCCCGATAGAGACTTCCTGCCTGCCCTGAGCCATTCAGTGTAGTTGGGGGAGGGGGGACGGAGTTCCACTAACTGTAATTCCAGCTGCAGCCAGGTTTGGAGCCCCCACGAAGTCAAGCTAAAAAGGAAAACATGCCAGTCCATTTCCCTCTTCCCATCCCCTTGACCAAGGAAGGTCTCAGTTTCACCCTGAACTGAAATACTTGGTTAACCATGCCACCCTCTGTGGGCATACCTGCTGTTATGGCCCAGCCAGTGCGTGCCACACACACACACGCACACACTCACACACACACTCACACACACACACACACTCACACACACACATACACACACTCACACTCACTCACACACGCACACACACACATACACACACTCGCGCACACACACTCACACACATACACACGCGCACACACATATACACATACACACACTCACACACACACATACACACACTCACTCACACACGCACACACACATACACACACACACACTAACGCGCGCGCACACACACACACACATACACACACATACACACACTCACACACACATACACACACACACTCTCTCTCTCACACACACACACACACACACACACACACACATGCCAGTCTGACTCTCTCTGACCCCACCCTCGCCACCTGCTCTCTCAGGCCGCACCCTGACTGGCCCAGAACATGACCTTGGAGTCAGCTGCCTGGATTCCGATCCCGGCTCTCCCACTTGCCAGCTGGTGACCTGGGCTGACGCCTTACTTTCCGCGGGGGCTGCCCATTCACAGTATTGCTGTGGGGAGTGCGCCTGCACAGAGGGGAAGTGCTGAGAGTCACTGCCATTACAACTGTCACTATGATTGTTAGTCTCCTTCCAGCCTCTGTGGCTCTCCTCACACTCACAGGTCCACTCCCGACTTCACACAGGCGCGCTGCTGTGCCCCACACACACACGTGCACACATGTGGACACGGTCACACCCCTGAGCTAAGCTGACACAGAAATGCACACACACATGTGTAGAACGCTAACCAACCTCTCTTCTGTGGGGAAGCCACGGCCTGCGGTCACCCAACACCCTTTCCAGGCGTCTTCAAACTACGGCCCGCGGGCCACATGCGGCCCGCAGAGGAGTCTGATCCGGCCCGCCAGGTTTTTTGGGCAGTGAGCGCAGCCAAGGTGTTACAGTAGGAATTAGTAGTTCATATAGTCCGGCCCTCCAGCTCTCTGAGGGACCGTGATCTGGCCCCCACTTTAAAAAGTTTGAGGACCCCTGCTAGACACACAAGCCACCGCTCACAGGAGCGAGCAGGAACGGAGCCCCAGACTGACTGGCTGACTGCACAGCAGGCCTGGACCTGCTCCCCCAAACCTCCCTCCTCACCCGCTGGGCCAGAGTTCCCCAGTGGCAGGATGACCCCCAGGACGCGAGTGGGAGTCTAAAGTGAGAAAAGCATCTCTGACACTCACTCTGAGACCAGCTGGCTCACAGTTGCCAGGAAGGGCCTGGCCGAGCCCAGGTCCAGAATCCAGTCCTCCTGACTAATTCCGAGCTTTTTCTTGGTCCCAGACTGTCTCCTTCCTAGACTTTGTGCTTCCTGTGGGCATAACCTATGGTGCAACTGATCTCTGATGCCCCAGGTCCAGGACTAGGGTAGATGGCCAGTAGGTATGGAATGAATAAATGAATGAGCGAGTGAGTGAGAGGGCAGTGGAGGAGTCCCAAGCTGATCCTGCTCTTACTGCTTCCCCAGCACTGGTCCCGAGGGACAATGCTCAGGGCAGCAGCACACACTGCCCACGTGCCAGCCCACACTGCCCCGGTCGAGCCCCCAACACTGGCTAAGACCGCTCTGGGTGAGGGCTCATGGTACCTCTTTCTGAGTCCCCAGTTCTCCAGAACCCAGGGCAAGGCCAGGATGCATACACCTCTGGATCTTGCCACAGTGCCCTCTCTTCTAGACACAGCGATGGGGCTGAATACAGCCCTGCCTGCCCTTCTTCAGGGCACCGCATGCCCCCGGGGCCGGGCCTCCGGGTCTGAGCACAAAGCAGAACTGGCCCCAGCCCTGCACCGTCCATCTCCTGGTGCGTGTCTCGATGAAGTGAAAGGTGATCAGGTGATCAGGTGAACCGGGCACAGCCCCAGCATCCCCTCCTGGGCTCTCCCATTCAGCGCCGGTAAGAGTTGGCGCCACTTTCTGGGTCAGACAGAGGCCGGCCTCTTCCCCCCACAGAGAAGCCAGGCCTGGCCAGTGGCCTTCCGCTGCACATCCTCAGCCGGCCATTCGCGATTTGGCCACCCCCTACCCCGTCCTTCCGGCCTTGTTCCTCAGCCCTCCCACCCGCTGCAGCTTCACCGGGTCCTCCCAGGGCCCCCCACATGCCCGCTCCTGTGCCCAGTCTAGGGTCCCTCCTGCCCTGGTCAGTTCCTCTCTAACACTGTGTGTTCCTCAGCTCCCGCCTGGAGCCTCCCCCAACCACAGAAGCTCCTGCCGTCCCTGCTGCCTCCCCCCCTCAGCCACCCCTTCCCCGGTCTCCAGGACTCCTCCTGGGCGCTCCTCCCACGCTCTGGCCCCGCTTTCTCAGTCCTTCTCCAAACCCCTTTCCCTCTCAGCAACCCCCCTCACCTTACCCCCCACCCACCGGGGCTGGGTGGTTCCTGGCTCTGCCCTCACCCTTGGTTCTCCCCACCCCACACAGGGTCTTAGGTGACATCACCCACTTCTGTGGCTTCCATGACTCCCAAATCCCGTCTCCAGCTGAAATCTCTCCTGAGCTCTGAGGCCTCCACGTGGACATCCCACAGCACCTCGAGGACTCTGTGTCCAACTCTCAAACCATTCAGTGACGGCACCCGCGTCCAGCCAGAATGTTGGGCATCAGCCGAGACCCCCTCCAGCCTGTCACAGCCCCGACACCTCTCGGCTACGTCCACCTTGACCCACATCCGGAGCTCCCACCCTGGTCCAAGCCACGTGGCTGGCACCAGCAGGGCGCTCTCCTGCTGGTGCCAGCCACGTGGCCTTTCTGCTTTGAGTTCTATGCCCTCCGATCCACCTTCCACACAGCAGCCAGAGGGGTCACTCCTAAGGACCAAGGGGTCATTCGTTACATCCCGTCACACCCCTGTTTGAAAGACGCTGGTGGCTTACCAGCCTTCGATGACGCTCCAACCCCCTAGCTTAGCCCCACGGCCCACCAGGACCTGCCTCGCAGCCTCTGTTACAACATGCAACCAGCGCCAGGCTTTCTGATTGCCCCCTCTGGGCCTTGGCGCATGCTGTCCACTTGGCCTGGGAGGCCCTTCTGCTGCTTTGTCGCCTGGTGACACTGCCCATAATGCAAGACTCAACTCAGAACGTGGAGGGTACTCCCTCTCGGAAGCCTCGTCTGCCCCCCACGCAGAATCTCAGACCCTCCGCCCTGTCTGCCTCCGTCCACGCATGCAGCTGTTGCTTGCTGGTCGGTAAAGCCCTTGCACTTCAGGCTCTCTCTCCTGCCAGGACTGTGGGTGTCCGGGGAGGGGTGTGGGGTGCCAATCCAGCCTTACCTGCCTCTGGGGGCCAGTGGGATCCGACTCTCTCCGTCGAGGGCGGGGTCCGGAGTGCAAGGGTGAGTGGGAAGGGCTGCCGGGCGTGGGGGGCTGCGAGGTCTCTGACCGCCCGTCGGCCTGGCTCAGCTGGGGTGGTGGGAACTGGGATGGCGTCTGTCGCAGGTCCTCCTCGGCCAGCGTCTGCATGCAGCGTCCCCGGGGCCGGGCGGCGGGCTCCGGCCCTGGCCGCCGCCCCTCCTCGCCCTCCTCGGGCAGCGGCCGCAGCTCCTCCGGCTCCTCATCCGTGGTGCCCGAGGTGCTGGGCTCGGCCCCCGGGGGGAAGTCCTTGAGCTCCGTCTCCTTGTCGATGATGACCCACTCCTTGCTGTCGAAGTCCTCCTCCTCCGCCAGCGGCACAGAGCGGAAGGCGTTGCTCAGGGCCTCCTGCTCCACGGAGGCCGACACGTCCATGCGGCCACTGGCCTGCCGGTCGGCCTGGCCCGTGTCCACCGACAGCATCTGCGCCGGCTGCGAGGAGCAGGCCTGGCGCGAGGGTGAGCCGGGCAGATCCATCCGTGACCTGCAAAGCCAGCCAGGCGGGGCTCAGTGCCGGCCCCTCGGGAGCCCCGAGGGCCCCACACAGCTGGCAGGGTGGCCCGCGACATCGGGACCCTCCTGACCAGGCACCTCTCCACCCTGGGAGCCGCCCCGCCACCTCCTGGTGTCACCCTCTGCCCTCGCTCCCAGGAAAGATCTCATTCACCCACGCATGCATTCATTCGACATGCTTACTGTGTTCCAGGACTGTAAGCATACAGCAATCAAGTCTGCTTCCTGTGCTCAAGAAGGCTCTCCCAGGCCACCCCAGGAACCTTCATCTCCCTAAAGCCAGCTTTCCGGCTGCCTGCCCCCTGCTCACTCCCCACCAGGCGCTCTCTTCTGCTGCCTCCCGGGCAAGCGCCTGGCCCTTGGGTTTGCAGGTGATTTTTCTAGCCTCCTCTACTCCCACCCTCCAGCCCTGCCTGGCGGGTTTCACCACCTCTAACCAACTCCAGGGGCACCCAGCCCGGGGGGAAAGTCCACATTCCTTAGTGTAACACCAAGGCCCTTCACTGCCAGACTCAGGCCCGTTTCCCATTCCTCTGCCAGACCCACCTCAGGCTCACACGCTTTCCCCAGGTGGCCCACACGCTCCTGCCTCTGTGCCTTTGCACATGCCGTTCCCTCCACAGGCCCGCCCTTCCACCCTGTGCTGTCCACCCCAGCTCAGATGTCACCTCCTGTGTGGATCCTCTCCATCCTCTGTGCGGACAGTTGTCCTCCCCATGCTCCCTGGTCCCCTCTCATCACAGAGCACCTGAGTTTACGTACCTGCCTCCCAGGGGCTGTGAGCTCTGCCAGGCGGGGGTGGGGGCCCACTTGCTGTCTGACTGTTCACGGCTGGGCACGGACCTGCCTTGGGACATCTCTCCCTGTTCCCTTAAACTGTGCCGTGACTCTCACATTGCTTCCCGAGGTTGTCACTCGGGTGTATGGCCCCAGCGTGGGGGACTCCTGTCTGTCTGACAGTGTGTGGAGGACAGGCCACTACAAAAGGGAGAACTGTCCCCTCCCAAATGCCTGCAAGTCCCCCCCCAACTGGGAAGGCTTGGCCCTCAGCCTGCGGGCAGGGGGCTGCCTCATCCTCCCCCAGCATGGGGCCGGGAGGGGAGGGGTGCGGGTCCCAGCCGCTGTGGACTTTCCCAACATACTGCCTCCAGCCTCTGGAGGACCTGCCAACTCTGACTCCACTGTCTTTACGGACTTGTTAATAAACCCACTTTGTTAGAATAAAAACACCCCGAGGGAGGCCGCCCAGGGCCTGACGCCCATAGTCCCACGTAGATGGCTGCTGTCACTTCTTCCCTGAGAGCTCGGTTCCATGGACACAGAGGAGAGGGGGCAACCGAGGGGGAGAGGGCTGAAGGTCGGGGTGAGGAGGGCAGGGAACTGAGGGGGAGAAGGGAACCCAGATCCCATCTGCTTCAGACTTCCTCCTGCTCCCCGGAGCCCCCCCAACGTTCTGCACTGCCTAGGGGATCCTGAAAACTCCCTTCCAGAAAACCTCTCCGCACCCCTCTCCTTGCCCACCATCCTGAAACAGGGGCCCACAGAGCCCCACCCTCTAGCTCAACCGGGGATCCCCCCACATACACACAACACCCCCTGTTCCCTCTCTGCTCCCCGGCTCTCCGGGCTACCGCATGGGTGTGGGTGTAAGCATGGGTGTGGCGTGGGTGTGGGCGTGGGTGTGAGCGTGCGTGGGTGTGGGCGTGGGCGTGAACGTGGGCGGGGCGTGGGCGGGGCGTGCGGGCTCCCTGAGGACGGTCCCATCAGCCCTGTCTGGCGTCCGCACAGGGGTCTCTCTCCCGGAGCGGGGAGGGGTGGTTGGGCAGGATCCAGAGGGGCCACCCCCGCCACAGCGGGGCCTGGGGAGACATTCCCTTCCCGTGCGGAGAAGCCTCAGCCTCTGCGGGGTGAGGTCCCCCCAAAATCAGGGGGGGCATCGCCCTCCACCCACCAGACCGCCGCCCCGCTGGCCGTCAGCCTCCCGTCCTGGCTCTCACCCCCAGCGCCGCGGGCCCCGCACGGCCTCTGGGTCTGGCCAACGACCTACACCCGGAGCCCCCCACCTCTGCCTGAACCCCACCTTTCCCCCAGCCCAGCCCTGGGGGCGGGGAGCCAGGCGCCCTGGACCCACCTCCTCTCATGGAGCTCCGCCCGCCCGTCCGCCGTGGAGAGCCGCTCGGACTCGGGGCTGTTGACCCTCCGGTAGCGCAGAGAACGGACTGGGGTGGTCGGGGAGTCTGGCGGGGCTCGCACCGGAGAGCTGGGGACCCCCACCCCTCGGTTCTGCTCCTCTTCCACCACGCAGGGGGTCTGCGGGAGAGGGGAGGCCGTGAGCTGGGGCTGACAGGGCGGCTGTGGGCCAGGTGGTTTCTGGGTGAAGGAGAGGGAGGTGGAGCGTCAGGATGCAGTGACCCTGAGATGGGGCAAGGCTGGGGGCTGGGGGCCTGGGGGCTGGGGACTGGGGGCTGCGGGGAGGGCGCGCAGAGGACAGGGAGGGCCCGCGGGTCGGGAAGGCCGCCATGCCCTTCTCCCTGGCTGCAGTTACTTTGCCGATGTTGATCCGGAGTTTGTTCCTGTTGACATCTGTCTCCTCCCAGACTTCAGCTTCAGGGCCCCCGGGATGGGGGGCCAGGAGGGGGCCGGGGCCCAGCCCCTCGGGGAGCCGCCCGGGCAGGATAGGGGGTGCGTTCTCCTGGTCACTCAGGTGCTCGCCCTGCAGCACGTCCTCCGTGTTCTCCCGGAGCAGGTCTCCGGGCACCGGCGTCACGTTGACCACCCTGGAGAGGCCGGAGGGGTGATGGGCAAGGCTGGCACGGGGGCCCTCTCCGGCCAGCACACGGCCTGGAGATCACTGCCAGATGGGCATGGGCGCAGGGGAGGTCCCAGGAGGGGTGAGGGTGGCCCTCGGCCCGTCACCCAGCTCACAAAACCCCTGCGACCAGAGGGTTGTAAGATGTGGCTGTCCAGACAGGCACACCACCACCTAGCTCTATTTAAGAGATCCCGCCCGGCTGGCCTGGCTCAGTGGTTGAGCGTCAACCTATGAACCAGGTAGTCAGGGTTCAGTTCCTGGTCAGGCACATGCCCGGGTTGCAGGCTCCATCGCAGTGTGGGGTGTGCAGGAGGCAGCCGATCAAAGATTCTCTTTCATCACTGATATTTCAATCTCTCTCTCTCACTCTCTCTCTCTCTCTCTCTCCCCCTTCATCTCTAAAATCAGTAAATATATATAGAAAGAGAGAGAAAGAGAGAGACCCAGCTGCTTCCCAGGCAGGCCCAGCCGGATTCCCGCTGCCATCACTGCTTGGCTTCCTTTAGCCCAGGAGTGAGTCTAAAGAGAAGGATCACTTGAAGTTAACTGAGCGACGTCTTTATAGATCTGAGCAGCACAGCGTGCTGACAAGTCCTGCGGAGTCTCCTTCCCAAAGGTGCCCGGAGCCCTGCCTGTCTCCCTGGCTCGCTCCTGGGGTTGGGTAGGCAGCCCCTTCTCACGTGGCCCCTTCTCCTTGTGCTTGTCACCGGTGCTGACACAGCTCCCCACCGTTACTAACACCCGCTACTCCACTGAGAGCCTCGGAGGGTTTCCCTCTGCACCCCGGGGGCGGGCGTGGCCTCGGACATGCTCCCCGGATGATCGCACGTGAGCTGGAGAAATGACACTCGGGGCTCCCTGGTCCCCACTGAGGTCAGCAGCCCCAAATGCAGGCCTTACGCTGCACCCGGATTGAGGGTGCAGATGTGGCAGAGCTTCCTGGGATTTGAGCACCAGGAATGGGAGAGATGGCCAGGCGTGTCCAGGTAGGAAGAGGAGGAGAGAGCAGGCAGCTGTGGGCAGGGGTCATATGTTCCCCCCAGCCATTGCCCCTCCGAGACTCACCCGAACATGGCTGCCGTCTGCCGCGTGTTCTGCTGAGGCGGGGTGGAGGTGCTCGTGGACAGGAGTGCGTCCGTGCCAGCCTTCTCCCAGTCAAAGGCCTCGTTCTCAGCGATGCCCCTCTCCTTCATGCTGTTCTCAAACACCGACATGATCAACTGCAGGGCGGGGGGTGGCGGGAGGACAGAGAGGTGACCCTGGGGCTCCCGGGAGGAGGGGCAGCTGCTGGGATGGCAGTGGGGAGAGAGGGGCCTTCCAGGACAGGGTGGGCCAAGAGGAGGCATTGGAAGGAGAAGGGCACATTGATTTTTCAGTGAAAACATGCACACAATATGCAAATAAGCATGCAAATTATCATCTTGGTTTAAGCCCTGCTGGCTGAACATAAGCCCCCTGAGACCTGTTCTCTATTGACCAGCTCCAGACTCCTTTGCTCTATTTCCAGAATCTCAGCAGAAGCCAGGGCAGCTGCAAACCACTGCAGTTCCCAAACCCACCACCTGGGGGCGGGGTGTGCACAGGCAGCTTCCCTGCCGCAATGCTTACCGCCCACCTCTCCTCTCTGAGGCCTCCCGGGTTCCCCCACACACTCCCTTGGTTGGGCACAGTGCATGGGTTTGAACTTCACCCACCCACCTGCCAACTCTACATCTCTAGCCGCCAGCTCAGGGCCCAGTACAGGGTGTGCTCACAGTCGTTTGATCTGGGGGACCCTGAGAGGCTGAGCTAAGAAATGGCGGGAGGTGGGGGATTGAGGGGGGATGTACAGGGAGCGGAGATACATGGCCTCCTACTGCCCAAGTATGGCATCTCTGCCAGCATGCAGGGCTCTGCGCTCAGCTGTTTTCCCCACTCTGATCAGGGTCGTGGGTCCTACAGGAGTGTGGGCCTTGGAAAGAGCACTGGACTTGGAGCCTGATGTGCCTGCTCCTCCCAGGCTACCAGGCCTCAGTTTCCTCATCTATGACATGGGCACAGTCACCCCACTCGGACTCCTGCAGAGTTTGGTGCAAAGTGCTTGGAAGCACTTGGCTCGATTGTTGAATGCTGAAACAATGACATAAGGAACACACAATTACCACCAAAGCCTGGTTTTGAAACTGAAATAAATGAATGCACGAAAAGCACTGAAAACAGGGTAAACGCTTGATAAATCTTAGCTGTGCCTACTGTTCGTAAGAGTGCAAAATAGTTTCGTGCAGTTGGAGGACCAGGGGGAGGTGGTCAGGGCCTCGGCAGCTGGCGAAGGTCGCCCACAGAGAGGTGTCCGGGGCGCGGCGGGCGGCGGCCCCCCCACCTGGTAGTCGGGCTTGGTGAAGTAGTCGAGGCTGGCGATGTGGTCCAGGAAGAGGTGGAACTCGGACGGCATGTGCTTCAGCAGCATCCGGTGCTCGTACTTCTCCTTGATCATCCCTACCTGCTCCTGGAGGCAGAGGCACAGGCAGATGGAGCCCGCTGGCCCGCCCCTTCGGCCGCCTCCGACCCAGCTCCCGGGACTCACCTTGTCCTTGATCTTCCTCCAGGGCAGCTGCCCCACTGCGAACTCCACCAGCATGTAGAAGAGGGACCACAGGTCGTCATGGCGGCCCATCTCCTGGGGGTGGAGAGATGGGGGAGGGGTCACCCACAGCTCTCAGGTCCTTCCCTGGGAGCCGGAGGCTGACCCTCCACTGAGGCACATCCATCAAGGAGGCCTGTGTGCTGCCGAGCTAGTGTGGCTGAGTGGCTGAGTGTCGACCCATGAACCAGGAAGTCATGGTTCCACTCCTGGTCAGGACACATGCCCAGGTTATAGGCTTGATTCCCAGTGGGGAGCATGCAGGAGGCAGCCGCTTGATGATTTTCATCATTGATGTTTCTCTCTCCTCCTTTCCCTTCCTCTCTGAAATCAATATATTTTTATTTTTATTTTTTATTTTTTATTTTTAAAATATATTTTATTGATTTTTTTACAGAGGAAGAGAGAGGGATAGAAAGTTAGAAACATCGATGAGAGAATCATCGATCAGCTGCCTCTTGCACATCCCTCACTGGGGATGTGCCCGCAACCAAGGTATATGCCCTTGACCGGAATCGAACCTGAGACCTTTCAGTCCACAGGCCGACGCTCTACCACTGAGCCAAACCGGTTTCGGCTGAAATCAATATATTTTTAAAACTTCTAAATGCTTTCTCACCCCACAGAGATTTGTGTTGGGAACAGAGAGGAGAGAAGTCCCACAAACAAGAAAGAAGGGGGAGTCACAGGCAGACCCTTCCTTCAATTGGGGTCTGGAATGGTAGCCTCCAGCCCCTGCCCCATCCTTCTCTCCGCACCTCCAGGCTGCGCTCCCCACCCGCTCCCTCAGCAGCACACTCTGCCCCTGGCCTCACTGCCCTCACGTCCCTCAGGCCGGGCTCTGCCACTCACCCGGTTCTTGTGGGCATTGACCGAGGCGTAGCGGACAGTCCCTCGAAACCCAGCCACGTTCCGAGGCTGCAGAGGAGAGAACACCACCAGGAACCTCACCGGCTGCCCGACCTTGGCCCTGCTCAGCCCTGCTTACCACGCCTGCCTCCGCCTCCTTTACCCGGGACTGCCTCCCCGCGGCACCCCCGCCCGTCACCTGGGCCTGGTCAGGAGCACACCGGGCGCTCCAACCTCAGTCCTAACCCTGCCTCCTGCCCTGGTGTCCGTCCTTGACCGGAGTGGACAGACAGAGGACAGAGCGTGGGTGTGGCAGGAGGGGATGGAGGGAGAGGGGGTGGCCACGTGCGCACAGAGTGGGGGCCAGGGAAGCCCGGGGAGGGTCCGGGAAGCGGTACTCACAGGCCGCACGTCCCCCGTGGTGTTGGTGTACTGCCGGGCCAGCCCGAAGTCCAGCATGTAGCACTTCCTGTAGGTGGACGGCAGCCGGCCCATGGCGAAGTTGGACTGCAGGGAGACAGCCCTGTGAGTGCCGGGCTCCGGCCCCACCTGGCCCACCTCACGGGGACCCTCGGCCCACACACCCTCACAGGAGGTAGAACGCCAGCCGGCCCAGCACTTCAGCGGCGGGGCAGGCGGCATTCTCCCCGTTTGGGGATGAGGAGAATGACGGTCACGGGGCTCAGGGGACTGGTCCGGGGTCCCTCAGCCGCCGATGGCTGCGCTGACGCTGAAACAAGGTCTGTGGCTCTAAATCCTTGGGACTCCCCAGCAGGACAGTGAGCATAGCCTAACTAAGGAGGAGGGCACCTATAGTGTCCTTGCTGTGACCTTGGGCCATTCAACCAACCTTTCTGAGCCCCGGTGTTCAGCCCTTAAGAAGGGCACTTACTTCAGCACCAACGTCCAAGGGGTCACACAATTAGCTGCTTGGAGCTCTTGGCAAAGGCCCAGCCCTGGTCCCCTTCCTCCACCCCCCTGTGCTCCCCCGACCCTTCCCCTGTCTGGGTTCAAGGACTCTGCAGGTCAGGGGTGAAGGAGAGGGAGGGAAGCACAGGAGAGGGAGGGCGTGGCCCAGGGCTGACAGCGCTGTGTGCTCCTGTGGGGCGGTGAGAGGCAGAGAGGGGGCTTGGGACGGAGAAGCAGCCAGGGGCCCCCAAGAGGGAGAGGGGCGGGGGCAGGGCAGCCCTCACCGGCTTGATGTCCCGGTGCAGGAAGCCCACGGAGTGGATGGCCTCGATGGACTCCAGGATCTGCTTGCCCAGCCGCAGGGTGGTGCTCAGCGTGAAGGTGCCCCTCGGCTGGCTGCGGCGCAGGTCGGCCAGGTTCCGGCCCTGGTGGTGGTGGCGGGGAGGGGGGGGGGGGACCCTGCTCAGCGGCCATCCCCCACCACCACCACTGGGCCACTCTGCCCAGCCTCGCCCCCAAGGCTGTGCCCACTTCCCCCTCCTCCCGGGGTCGCAGTCTCCCTTCCCCCCACCCCACCCCACCCAGGCCACAGGAGTTGCAGCCCACGTCCCGGGTGACGGGAGGGAGGATGCACGGGCCACGGGACTCACCTGGAGCTGCATCACCACGTAGTTAAACTTCTCGTTCCGGCCACAGCCGATGAACCGGCACACGTGGTCCTTCCCTGAGAACACAGGCAGGCGGCTCCCAATCCCACTCCCCACTCCCCACTCCCCGCTTGCAGGCGGGCTCCCAGTGTGTTCTGGATTCCTGGTCCCCCAGCCCCTAGTCCCATCGCTCTTCGGCTGGTCCCCTCTTCTCTCCACCACCCTACACCTCTCCGGCCTCTCAGCCCACCACTTCTCCTGGCCCCTGGCTCCGTCACCTCTCCGCGCCCCTCCTCCTGCCCTAGGCCCGTACCTTGCAGCTTTTTGAGCACGGCCACCTCCATCTTGAGGACCTGCTTGGGCTGCTGGGCCGACTCCACCTTGAGGGCCACGTTCTCCCTGGTCAGCAGGTCCATGGCCTCGTAGATCTCACCAAAGCCCCCACCTCCAATCTTTTTCAGCTACAGAGACAGGAGAGGGGAGGGGGACACAGGAATCAGGCTGAGCAGCTCCTCATCCAACCACTGTTGGGTGGTATCCTTCACTGATGGGGGCAGGGGCATCCTTGAGAGGGAGGACCTCATGTCTCCCTCCTTGCCCCACCCACCAGGGCCCCGCCTCCTTTCCTAGGGCTGGAGACAGACAGCTCGGCCATGGTTGACACACACACTCACACACACACACACACACACACACACATGCACACACGCACGGGGCCAGATGTCAGTGGGCAGTGGGAAAGGGTATGAGGCGTGTGACTTCATATAGACATGGAGCCAAGGTCACATGGATCCTGAAGAGATAATGGGCTGTCATGAATCTTTTCTTCTCTGGAAGGACAATCAATATCATGCTCCCCCATCCGCCGCCTAGACTGAGCAACCTCTGGAAGAAAGACCAATTTCCAGAACCTCCCAGCTTCAGGGCAGACCCCCCGGAAGGGGTTAGCCGCATCCGAAAAGGTGTCACCAGAGTGCTGGGTGGGGCAGTGTTTGGGGAGGAGACCAGGAAAGGTCTGAAGGAGACCATTGCTGCGCTGAAGCTCACACCCCTCCCCAGGCCCCTGCAGGGGCCACACCCAGGAAGGCCTCCTCTCTGGGGCAGGGGACACTGGAGCCTGTGGTGTGAATCTGCTTATTCCCAGGGGCAGTGCGGTGGAGAGCTAAACTGCCAGTCCTCCTCCTCCTCCAGCGTCCCAGAGCAGGGAGGGAGAGAAGACAGAGAGAACTGGGATGGAGGAAGAATCGGCAGCAGAGATGAGCAAAGCCGAGTTATGGGAGGGATCAAAGTCATGTCAAGTCAGAGGCCCAGGATGCTGGAGAGTGAGGGTGCCGCTGGCAGTGATGGGGGGCTGAGGGAGAAGGTGCTGAAGAAAGATGCACAGCTCAGTTCTCGCCTCCTCAGAGAGGATGGCCTGCCCTCTAGTGCCTTCGTGTGCATCCTGTTGGCTAATAACTGAGCCACGGCTGCTAATGGTGGGGTGGAGGGTCCTGATCAGCCAGCTGGTCAGGGACCCTGAGCCTCCTCCCCCCGCTGAGCCCTCCCCTGAGTGTTTACTCTGTGGGAATGAAGGGAGGAAGGGGGCGGGCTGGGTGGAGCAGAGGTTTCAGGTGAGCGTTGAAACCTCTCTAGAAAGAGAAGGATGAAGGGAAGATCTGGAAGAGGAGCGGAAGGCAGGATGGGATCTTGAAGACTCTTGTGCCGAGGAAAGAGGCCGGAAGAGAGGGGGTAGGAGGGAGGAAAGGACAGTGAGAAACCAGAGTCCCTCTCTACTTGAGACAAAGGTTGAAGGTCCGGCTTCTAGGAGAATTTCAGAACCAGGAGGGACAGCTGCAGACTCCGGGGAAGCACCGCACGCCTTCCCTGGGGAACTGTAAACGCGGGGGGGCTTTGTATCTTCCGGGCTCCTCTGCGGTGTGCTGTGCGTGAGCACGGAGGAAAGGCCGAGGGGGCGGGACACCCACCGCATCCCGGTTCTGTGCTCCGGACTCAGACCTCATCTCCGCTCGTCCCCGAAGGGTCCCAAGCACCGGTGAGGAGTCATCGGAGTCCCGTTCTGCACGGAGGTGAGCACCGGCCCCCGTCACAGGGCTAGGGAGTAGCAGAGCCTGTGTTGTTCAAACCCAGGCGATCGGATGCAAACCCACACTCTGGCCATGTCGTTACAGGAACAGGTGATCACACTGGGGTTCAAAGCGTCGGGGCTGAGATTCAAGCTCAGATCTACCGCGATCCGAAATCCTTGCTGGAGACGGTCAGGAGGTTTGGGGCTGTCAAGACATTTCTGACACCTACTCACTCACGGCTATTCCTCTACCACTTCCCTTTCAGAGTCCACTGTTCCTTCCTCAGTCCCCTTCTTACCACCCCACCCACTCTCTACTGAACCTCCCTGGGGCGGAGACCCGGCCTCTTCACTCACCCCCTCACCCGCACCCCTCCTCCCTGGCCCTTAGCCATGGCCGCAGCAGGCACAGGGACTGGGTCCATCAGACTTTCAGGAGACAACAAAAATGTATTAGTTTCTTTGAAAACCAGAAGGAGAGAGAAATTAACGGTTAGGTCAAAAAGAAAATGTAAATAGGTAATATTAATGTGTTCCTCTTTATACCACTGTCCTCACAAAATACAGTTTTTAGGAATTTGTTATCGAGGAAGGGGCCATAGGAGGAGAAATGTCCGGGGCCCAGGAAAGCCAGGAATATTCTCTCCAACTCCCTTCACCAGACCCTGTTCACGATCCGCTCCCTGCCAAAGGGCCCCCCCAAACTGGAGGAGAATACACCACAATAGGACCAGCATTCACACAGGGAAAAGGAAGCCTGGTTTCTCGGCCCAGCTCTGGGTGCCCTGGGGTTAGTTTCTGAAAGTTTTGGAGGTCCTGCTTTTTTAGCATTGGTCACAAAGACCCCTCAGCTCCAGGGTCCTGATTCTTGGACGGGCTAATTCTTGGAACGAGTTACTGTCGGCCCAGCAGCAGTCAGACAGACCTGGTCCTACCTGCCGGTCATGGTAACGTGACAAGTTAGGGAATCTCTGCCTCGGTCCCCACACCTGTGAAATGGGGCTAACAGTGTCTGTTTTTCACAGCATCAGGCAATTGTAAGTGCTCGAAACAAATGCTAAGTTTTTGTTACTATTATTGTTTGTGATTCTACTTCTGAGAATCCTGCCTCAAGAAGAAAGCAAGGCTATTATCTTTAAATACTCCCTCTGGCGTCACTGACCTTCATTCTCCCCTGGCTACAGCCTGTCTCTGGCAACTTGTTCTTGGTTCCTGAGCTCTGCCTCGGGCTTCTGCCCCATCCCTCACGGGGAGATGGCTGAGGGAAGTGTCTGGCACCCCACCATGGCTAGTTGGCCAGGGGCCAGGGAGGAAGTGAGCGGTAAAGAGAGGTAAGCTGGCAAAGACTGAATTCCCTAACTCCCTCTTGTCATTTCTCTCCCACTTCCTCTCAGAGAAACACAAGGAAGTTATAACTCATGAACACCACCTTTTTCTCACCTCTTCAGTGCAGATGTCCGTCTGCCTCCAATCTGCCAGCACAAGAAGCTCTTGTAACATTCCTCATTTTACCAGACCTTCATTCCTTTGATTACTGTCCTGGCTCCTCTCCTCCGCCCCCCCGCCCCCCACATCTGTCTTGTTACTCTCCCTCCCAGGAAGTTCCGGGGGACACTACCTGCAGTTTTCCAGCTGCTCCAGTGTGACCCCCTCCTGAGACAGCCCTGACAAGGCTGCCACCTTTGCCTCTATCCCTGGCCTCTAAGAGACCTGCCCAGCGGAGTGGTTGTTGCCATGGAGACAGGCCCCACTCTCCTCTCAACCCCTAACCTAGTTGAACCTCTCCCAACACACACACACACACACACACACACACACACACACACACACACACACTGAGAGAGAGAGAGAGAGGCTCAGTATAAACCTGACCTGTAATGCTTTCCCTCTCTTCCTCCTGGCTCCCCACCCAGGTGCAGATCCACACTTCACACACTGTCACCCCGAAAACCTAGGGCCCAGCAGCCTGCCCCCACATGTAAGAGGCAAGCAGCTCTTATGTGACAGAAAGCCGGGGGATGGGGGGGGCGGGGAGACAGGGATTGATTTACAGTAGGTCCTGTTCCCCAGACACTGCCTTTTCCCTAACCTTCAAGTGTCCCCCTCCCATCCAGACACCTTACACGCCCCCCCCCCAAGAGGCTTGGACTACAACTCCCAGCAGGCCGAGCAGCCTGAATTCCTGGGCTGGAGGAGCAAGGCACGCTGGGAGATGGAGTCTCGGCATGTTGCACCTGCCGCAGGAACCAGGGAGGGGAAGAGGGTGGGTGGAGAAGATGGAGTGCGGGTGCGGGTGCGGTGGGAGCAGGCTGAGCAGGCTGAGCAGGCTGCGGGGCCTCTTTCCCGGAACCCACGCCTTCCCATCCTCTGCGGAAGCGGACACATGCTCAGTCGCTGCCCTTCTCCAAGGTCCGGCGGAGAAAGAGCCCCCTCCCCCACCCTCCCTCCGCCCCGGCCGAGCTCTGCAGCTCCGGCTCAGACTTCCAACCGGGAGTTGTTCCAGGCTGGGACGGACCGGCGTGACCCGGCCCGGAGAGGGGTGAGAGGGCGGGGCTGGGGAGCCGGCCCGGGAGACGGCGAGTGTCCACAAGTGAGGGCAAAAAGCAGGGCCTGCAGGCGCTATGCAAACGAGCTCAGGGGCACCTCCCTCCTTAGGTCGGTGCGCTAAAAGGCACCTGTTTTTTCTGGTCTCCAGATCCCCTCCTCCCCCCTCTCCCGCCCCTCCCTCTGGCCCGCCGGTCACTCACTCACCACCTTCCAGCGATCCTTGACCACGTAGTTGGCCGGCAGGATGTCGGCCTGCTCCCCTCCCCCACTCATGTTGGTCTCGTCCTTAGGAGCAGCCGCTAGGCCCTGCATCCGCCAGCCGGAGGGAGGGGTGTCCGCAGGGCCTGCCCTGGGGGGGCCATCTACCTGGGGGAGCGCAGAGGGGCTGTGAGCGGAGAGGACCGAGGACCACCTTGCAGATACGCTGAAGGGGCTCTCGGGCCTTCCCAGTCCCACTGGACAGATGCGCTAGGGATTGCTGGGGGAGGCACGCGTGGAGGTCAGGGGAGAAGACAAATCCTCTCCACAGGAAAGGAGATACAAACTACTTAGACTAGACATGTGAGAACCAGCAACGCACGTGGATGGGAAAAGGAGAGGAAGATGTTGTGAGCAGGGTGTGGGGAAAGTGTGTCCCAAAGAGACACATGCCAGCTAATGTGGGGGAGGCTGCCTACCCAGGAGCACACAGCCTGGGACCCAGGCCTGCATTGGGGAGACTGAGGCAGAGAAGGACCAATCTGAGTGACTCCACCTGTGACCCCTGGCACCTACCCCTTCCCTGTGCCCCAACATGCCGGGGAGAGGTGCGCCTGAGGCTTATTGAAAGGGGAGAACTGCTGACGAGGGGTGCCCTCTGGGGGACACACAGCAGAGACAGAGACTGCGCGCCCACCAGGGGAGTGTGGTCCTCAGAGAATGGGGAGACACCGGCAGCCATCCAGCCATCGGGCCTGGAGCTGAGTGAGGAGATGCAGCTGCCAGCAGGCACATGCGCTCTCCGTGTGCCTGAGAGGGCAAGGCTAGGAGTGAGGAGGTGAACATAGGCAATGGGTTTGAGACATGGGTTTTAAAGGGACGGCAGCATGAGGCCTCTCAGAGGGAGAGAGGCAGGTTGAATTGGGAGGAAAGCAGGGAAGCAGCCCAGCAGATGAGAGGCAGGAGGAGCAGGTCGGGGAGCACGTGGTGAGAGCCTTTGGCCACACCTTTCCAAGTCTGCTCAGGGGCCAGGGAGCACGGCTCCTGAGGCATTAGGACGGGTACACGCTGGGTATCGAAGAGAGCGTCCCAACTGTGAGGCTGGGAGCCAGCCAGTGTCACCCAGGGACATGCAAGGGTGTGCATGTGTGTCTGTGTATATCTGTGCATGTATCCTCTGTGTGAGTGTGTGTATGCATGTATTGTGTGTCCTTTTTATTAACTTTATTTGGGTGACATTGGTTAATAAGATCATACTGGTTTCAAGTGTACATTCTATGATACATGTTCTGTATATTGCATTGGACCCACCACCCAAAGTCATGTCATCGTCCATCATGTATCTGTGCCCCTTTATCCTTTGCCTATCTGTATGTGCCTGTGTGTGTGTGTGTGTGTGTGTGTGCACGTGCGCGTGTCTTTGTTCTATGCCTGTACATCCATGTCTGTGTGAGCTTGTGTGTGTGTTTGTGTCTCTGTGTGATGTGCATGTGTAGGCAGGGAGCCAGAAGAGATAACTTGAGATCTCTGCCAGCCCAGTACAGGAGTGGAATCAGGGTCTTTTTCTTCCCCTACACTTTCTACAAGCGCACTGCTCTGCCCTCACAGTGACCCGGCATCACAGGCGGAAGGAAGTTGCTCGGGCTGGGGTTGGGGCTGGGGGAAGAGGAAGAAAGTGCCTGAGATATCGTGGATGGGGTGGGAACTCCATAAACCCGCCTTTCCTTGGGATGGGAGAATGCGCCGGGGCTCCGGTGTCCAGCCATCCTGACGGGGGCGGGGGCAGCATGGAACGGGGAACGGGGAAGGCGTGGAGACACCCCTCCACAGGCCGCCGTGTGCCAGGAGGGCGTGCGGAGAGGGCTCTCGTGGGGAGGAACACTGTCACTCTTTTCTGTCTTTCCTCAAGTGACTCAGCTGACTGTTTCCTCCAGTCCCCCAACTGCAGAGTTTCAGAACTGATACCAAATGGGCCTCTGCCCTCCTTCTGCCAAAGGGCACAGGGCAGAGAGGGCAACGGCAGGAGGAAGGGCGAGGTAGGGTTGGGGGAGGGGGTGTCTGGAGCACACGTGGAGGAGACGGGTTGAAGACAAGACGGAAGGACCAATTGGACGGTGGAGAGGGGTCCTTGGGGAGATGGACAGGGTGACCTCCGGTGGGCCTTCCAGGCCTGTGGGGGTGGATTCTATTGGTTGATGGAGGAAAGGTAGGCCCTGCTCCCATTTACTGACGGGCAAGCCCAGAAGGAACAGATGAGGCGGGAAAGGAAGAGTGTAGACAGGAGGACAAAAGAGGGGTCCCTGCTTCTCCCTGTTCATCATCCTTCCACTCCCCGCCTCAGAGGACTACACTCCATCAGACCAGGATCGGATGACACGAACACCAGTAATGTGGCTGCCCCATGGCCGCCCCCTCAGGACCTGCCTTGTGGGCGTGCGGAGGCGTGGGTGTGCGTGAGCGAGGGCTCCCGGAGGGGGTTTTACGGACTGTGTCAGAGCGCATGTTGAGGGTGGGTGCGGGGCGGAGGCGGGAGAGAGGTCTGAGTGGTTGGGAGCTCATGGTGTGTGAATGTAGTGTGGATGTGTGATAGGCAAGGTGTGAGCCAAGCGTGTGTGGGAATCCGGGAGCCCAGGTAGGGGAGGTACCGGAGACCAGTGAGGGCTGGTGGAAACATGAAAAGCTGTGTGGGAGGGAGCAGAGGGGAATAGAAGGGACCAGGAGTGACAGGACCAGAGGCGGGGGTTGGGTAAGACAGAGGCAGGTGGGAGATCATGCTGCAGGTGAAGAAGGCCCAGGACGCTGAGGGGTATCTGGGCACCGCGGTGGGCACAGTGGAAGGGGTGAGGGATGGTGAGGAAGTTGGTGAGAAGCCCAGGGCAGGAGCGGAGGGCAGGACAAGGAAGAGAGGTTATGGAGACAGCTCGGAAGGACTGGTCAGGGCGACAGGAGATTGAGCCCCGGAGGCAGGGTCGGAGGTTGGAAGTGAGGAGCGGACCTCCCGGCCGGCGGGCAGGAAAGGGTGGTATGTGCCGGGCAGGCGGCTGGTCCAGGCCTCGGATGCGGCCCAGGCGGTGTAGGCCAGCGTCCCAGCCGGCCCGAGGAGACGGCCGCAGGGAGGGGGCGCCGGGGAAGGCTGCGCTGGGAGGGGAGCCAGGCCCCAGGCCCCGCGGGTCCACGGAGGGAGCCCCCGCCCCGGCCCCCGCCCGCCCGGCCGGCTCACCTGCTCTGTGCCCGCTGCGGCGGAGGCTGCGGCCGCGGAGGCAGCGGCTCGGGGCGGCGCATCCCCCGGGGCCGGGGCGGGGTGGGGGCGGCGGCGGCTCAGGGCGGCGCTGGGCGGCCCGCTCCCTCCGGCGGCGGCGGCAGCGGCGGCGGCGGCCTCCGGACCGGGACCATCCCGGCCCGGCCGGCCCCGATCCTCCGCGGGCGACAGCGGTGGCAGCGGCAGAGCGGGGAGCTGCCCACAATGCACCGCGCCGCCAGCATCAGCACCAGCCCTGACATCACCGCCCGCCGCCCCGGCTCTTACATCACCGCCCTTTCTCTGACATCACGTTCTGCTCCGCTCCTCTCTCCTCTCCGGCAGCCCTGGGACGCGCGCGGGCGGTTCTGCTCTGGCTCTTAGGGTCTCCTCACTGGTCTCAACAACTCACTTGGTCCCCCTCCCCCCACCAGGGCCTCATCACTCCTTACCTGTCCCCATATGCCTCACCTGTCTCCTCACCCTTTACCTCTGCACTCCCGCCTGTCCCCATCAGCCTCAACCATTGCCCCGCTCCATCCTCCTTTAGCTCATATTACTCCCCCTCAGCTCCCCTCCCCTCCCTGCCATACTTCCCCACCCGCTCCTCCTACCCACCCCTCACTGTAACTCCCACCTCACCGCATATACACCTGACCTCCTGGCTCAACCTAGCTTTTCTTTTGGCCCTTCCTCCCATCTGCTGGCAAACTCTGCCGTCATCTCTGACTGCTCACCAAATAAGATGCACCCTCTTTACCAAGACATTAAACAGTCTCCCTCAGGGCCCCACGGAGGCCGTGATTGTGCTTTGACAGACGGGGGTGCTCAGCACTCACTGAACATACTTTGCACATTGTCTCCCCCAGGCCCTTCCTTCCGTCCTCCTGCCTTCAATAAATCAAACTGAGCATCTTCAACAACAACAAAGCAGTAACAATAGCAGCAGCTCTTTACTCCTGCCCCCATTCTGACTGGACACACATTAATTCATTTAATTCTCATAACAACCCTATGAGGTAGCGGTACTGATGTTGTACCCATTTTATAGATGAAGAAACTAAGACACAGAGATTGGAGCACTTGCCATAGGCTCGCAGCTAGCAGGTGGCAGAGCTGGGACCCAAACCCTGGCTCCAGAGCCCATGCTCCTGCCCATCTGCTGGGAGGAAGTGCCATTGAATCTGCAAGACCAGTCAGCCGAGGCATCTCAGAGGAGGTGCATTCAATTGTCATTTTTAAAAATATATATATTTTATTGATTTTTACAGAGAGAAGGGAGAGGGATAGAGAGTTAGAAATATCGATCATCTGCCTCCTGTACACCCCCTACTGGTGATGTGCCCGCAACCAAGGTACATGCCCTTGACCAGAATGAGACCTGGGACCCTCAGCCCGCAGGCCGATGCTCTATCCACTGAGCCAAACAGGCTAGGGCTCAGTTGTCATTGGGAGGATTAGAAGGGGCCAGGGCAGAGGTGGGAGAGGTTTCCAGGCTGGGAGGAGAGCTGAGGTGGCCGGGGAGGTGCGTGCAGGATCACCAAGGGCTTTGTGCTGTGCTGGGAAGACTGGGTTTTCTTCCCTTGGTTTCTGAAGGTGCAGCGGGCGGTGTGGTGTCATCCAGAGGCCCCTTCAGAGTCCAGGCCGCCCTTCCCAGGCTGGTTCCCTCTCCGGGAACGTCCCTTGGCCTAGAAAGATGCCTCATCCAAGACCACACGCCCCCCCCTGGAGCATCCCAGATCTGATCAGCGATCAGCCTGTGAGAGCACAGGCCTCTACCCTTTTCCTCACCTCAGGACAGCGCTGGAGGGACACCATTTTCCAACCTCCTGAGAGGGTCCGCCTCTCAGGAGGCTTCTGCTGAGACTGCAGCAAAGCTCTGCTTCCCCTCCGCCCAGCGCTGCGCTCCTCACGCCCCCGTAGAGGCTGGTCCTCGGAGCACTCACCAGTAAGCCTGCTGCACGGCCCCCTCTGTCTCAGAGCCAGTGCCCACAGCAGCCAGCCCTCCCGACAGGACACCACTGAAGAATGCTGAGCAGCAATGAGACACGGTCTGACCCGAGTACAGGGTAGAATTTTAGGTTGGCCACTTGTTTCGGTGCTTAAAAGTGTTGCTCTGCCGTCTTCTGGCTTGCATTGTTCCTGATGAGAAATCTGCAGTTACCCGTATCTTTGTTTCTCTCTCTGTAAGGTGTCTTTTTCTCTTTGGACCACTTTTCAGATTTTCTCTTTATCATTGGTTTTAAGCTATTTTGTTATGATGTGTAATTTGATTCATTTTTCTTGTGCTTGGGGTTGGTGAGCTTATTGTATCTGTGGATTTACAGTTTTCAAGTATGAAACATTTTCGGCCATTATCTCCCCCTCCACACCCCCTTCCCACCCCCCGCCATTATTTCTTCAAGTATTTATTCTGACCGCTGCTTTCCTTCGGGACTCCCGTTACCCTGGCTGCCAGGCTGTTTGAGGTTGCCCGTTTATGCTCTGTTCATTTTCTCTTTCCCCACCCTGTCTTTTAATCACTGTGTTTATTTCTGATAGTTTCTACTCTGTATTCAAGTTTATTCATCTCTTCTTTTTCAGTGTCCGATCCGGTAATAACCTCATCTCCTGTGTTTTCCTTGTAGCTTACAGCTCTAGAAGTCCAGTCTGGGTCTTTGAAAACCTTCCATGCTCAGCTTTTCTTCTAACTTCCTCTACATATTGAGTAACTATAACAACTCTTTTCATGCACTTATCTACTAATTTTATTATCTGAGTAATTTCTGCATTTGTTTTTAAAATATTTTTACTGATTTCAGAGGGGTGGGGGAGAGAGAGAGAGAGAGAGAGAGAGAGAGAGAGAGAGAGAGAGAGAGAGAGAGAGAGAGAGGTCAATGATGAGAAAGAATCTTGGATCCGCTGCCTCCTGCACGCCCCCCACTGGGGAGTGAGCCTGCAACCCAGGCAAGTGCCCTGACGGGATTGAACTGTGACCTCCTGGACCATGCTCAACCACTGAGCCATGCCTGCCGGCTCTGCATTCATTTTAATTTTTCTTCTCACTCTGGGTTGTATTTTCCTGCTCCTTTCCATACGGTACCAAATACTGTGAGTGTTACCTTGCTGGACCCTGGATATTTTTCTATTTCAGTAAATACTCTTGAGCTCCATTCTGGGATGCAGTTTATTTACTTACAGATAGTTTGATCTTCCCAAGATTGACATCTAAGTGTTTGTCAGGTGGGACCAGAGCAGCCTTTAATCTAAGGCGAATTTCCCCCACCCCTGATGCAAGCCCCTGGGATGGTTCACCTGATGCCCATGGCAGCTGGAGGGAGCGGTCACTGTTTCCATGCCTGAGTGAGCTCCGAGGGCTGCTCCGCTCCTTTCAGATGGCTCTTCCCACTCTGGAGAGTGTCCTCACACCTGTGTGCTGACCGGGGCAGCCCTCTGATTCCAGAGGTCTCCCGCTTGTCCTAGCTCTATCCTGCAGACTAGCTGCCTTGGCCTCCCAGGACACCCATCCCCCTCCTCAGCTCCAGGAGACAGCCAGGCTCAGCCTGGGCTCCTCCCGCCTGCAGCCCGGACTCCCTGAGGCCACACACGGGGCCACACGGAGCCCACCTGGCTTGTTTTCCGTGTTCCCAGGATTATTGCCCTGTGCTGCTGCTGGTCAGTGTTCGGACGTCATTGTTTCATGTACTCCATCCAGGATTTGGTTGTTAAACATGGGAAGGTGTCCAGCAAGACTCACAACATAAAAATGGGCCAAGGAGCCTGGCCTGGCGGCTCCGTTGGTTGGAGCATTGCCCCAAGCACCAAACGTTTGGGGGTTTAATTCCTGGTCAGGGCACAGGGCTAGGTTTTAGGTTTAATCCCTGGTTGGGTACAGTTGGCAACCAATCAATGTTTCTTACATCGATGTTTTTCTCTCTCTTTCCCTCTCTCTTCCTCCCTCTCTAAAATCCATAAACATATCCTCAGGCGGGGATAAAAATAAATAAATGAAACGAATAGAGGGTCTGAAATAGACATTTTCCCAAAGAAGACCAACAGGAACATGAAAAGATGCTCACCATCACTCATCCTCAGGGAAATGCACATGAGACATCACTCACACCTGTGAGCATGGCTGCCAGCAGCAACGGAAGGAACAAGGATCAATGAGGGCGCAGGGAAAAGGGAACCCTGCGCTGGGGTAGGGCTGTAAATCAGTGTAGTCACTAGTGTAATGGCAAACAGCGCAGAGATCCCATACGAAATTACAATAGAACTATTATACGACCCAGCAATACCTCATCTGGACAGTTATCCAAAGGAAATGAAGTCACTGTCCTGAAAAGATATGTGCCCCCTGCAGCATTGTCTGCAACAGCCAAAACCTACGTGTTCACTGATGGATGAATGTATAAAAAATATATACTATTCAGCCAATAAAAGAAGAATATCTTTTAAATATATATATATATTTTATTGATTTTTTTACAGAGAGAAAGGGAGAAGGGGACAGAGAGTTAGAAACATCGATGAGAGAGAAACATTGATCAGCTGCCTCCTGCACACCTCCTTCTGGGGATGTGCCCATAATCAATGTACATGCCCTTGACCTGAATTGAACCTGGGACCTTTCAGTCCACAGGTCGAAGCTCTGTCCATTGAGCCAAACCAGTTAAGGCAAAAAGAATATCTTGCCAGTTGAGACAACATGGAGGGAGCTTAAGGGCATTATGCTAAGTGAAATAAGTCAGACACAGAAAGACAAATACTGTATCATATCACTTATATGTGGATTCTAAAAACAACAAATTCATAGATACAGAGAACAGGTTGGCGAATGCCAACTTTTAAACTTCTAGTTATAAAGTAAGCAATCCTGGGATGTAATGTACAGTGCAATGACTACAGTAATAACCCTATGTTATATATTTGAAAGTTGCTAAGAGAATAAATCTAGAAAGTTCTTATCACAAGAAAAAATAATGTATAACTACGTGTGGTGATGGATATTAATTGGACTTATTGTGGTGATGGTTCTGCAATATATATTATACAAATACCCAGTCATTATGTTGTACAGCTAAAACCAATACAGTGTTATATGTCAACTATATCTCAATGTTTTAAAATCCACATAAGAAAAGTCACGAGAATCACAAAAAGGAACAAGGAAAAGCCATGGTAAAGGTACAGCACAAAAGAGGATAATAGGGAAAAAATTAAGCGTGTAATTTTTTGGCTCAGTAGATAGAGCATC